GTACTGTTTCCAGTGCTGCAAAACAAACAAAACCAAACAAAAAATAGGGCATTAGCTTATGTGAATGTGTTTAATTATTCCGAAGACCTATCCTTTGGGCTCCCAGGTGAACTATATCCAGAGAGATTGAATACAGATGACAGGCAAGCAGCTTTCCAATAAACTGCAGTATTATTGCAATAGACTTCGTAATACAATTTATGCTGTCATTCATAAATAACAATGCCATATGTCAACCATATTGCTTACACAAGTAAATCCATCAACGTGTCACTATTTGATTTATCTCAGCAGCTTCTTCAAATATTGAAGTACAGATATTGGAAGGGGTGTGGAGTGATAGGAACTACCCAAGAAATTTGAGATTTTATTTTTGACTGCACCTCTACTTCTCCTTTATTTCCCATCCAAAAACATCCTAAAGGGTAAGAAATTAAGGGGAGGAGAAGCACATCGTGGGGCCAATGTAAATAAATATTGAGTGGTTATATGAACTGTGAACATGTAAGAGAGTTCTGCGGTGGTTTTGACCTTCTGGGCATATTTTGGAACAATGATGCATTGCCCAAGAAATTGTCAATCCTAGTGACCAACTGCAGGTCAAAGGTCTTTCTCCAACAACCTCCATCTCTGAGGGTAAAAATGATTGCAAACCAAATGAGAGCATTTGATGACAGGCAACTTTTATTCAACTTATTCTTTAGTGGTAAGGAAGTAAAGGGAGTGATAGTTTTTAAATGGCTTTCAGCCACAAAGGTGAGGTGGGTGTGGGATAGGCCCACTTCATAACTGTACAAACAACAACCAGACAAAACAAATCCCCACGGAATCCAACATATCAGTCACGGCCACACAGCCCCAGTTTTCTGCCTTTTCATCCTCATGAAGTCTACATAAGTATGATAGTGCTATTAGAAGAAGCACTTTTCTGGTTATTCTTAGCTCTACACATATCCGTGGAGCCTCAGGACTCAGGGCCAGCTCAGGAGGGCGGTAACCCTCGGAAAACCCGAGAGGGCTGTGAATTGCGGAGTGATTCTTAGCACCCAAAGGCCCTGGGCCAGTGCAGCTCCCACGCAAGTCGGGTGGTGAGTGGCCAAGATTGGAGGGTGGGGATGGGGGATCCGGTCCCTGCCCGGTGCAGACAGGGCAGGCGACCAGGAGAGGCTGCCCTGAAACTCCCTGCATACCGCATGGAGAACCTGATTTGAGAAAAGCCCTTGAACCCCAAGTCCCCATCACTTAGGGCCCTGGCGCAGCTCTACTAAAATGCAGCTGTGCCGGTGCCTTTGCCTACCTTGCCCTAGCTTTTAGGAAAGGTCTGAGTGGACCATCAGGCCCTTCCCAGTGTCGGCTAGCAACTCCCCTCCTGTTTAGCACCCACTGGCGCCCTTGGGCTGGGCTTCAAAGGTCCTTCGATTCCTCTAGTAATTCGGGTGCTACATTCACCCTTGAACCCGTCTCTGCCGTGACCCAAATGGCACTAGATGCTCCAACCCACCGGCACCCAGCCCTTCTGCAGGGAGGCCGCTCTCAGAGAAACCACGCGGGACCAGCGAGTTGTAAAGCAATTGCAGGGGCAATAAAAGGCGGTTCGGGGGGTCCCCCGGCTCCTTTCTTGTCCACCCCACTGTCCCCGAATTCCCCCCTCCCTCTGCCTGCAGAAACAATCAAACAAAGGCTCAAAAGCCAGGAAATGTCTAATTCACTTCCCTTAGAGTTTATTAATTGCCCATACCCATCGCAGGAAACTTGGCTGTGTTCGGTGACACCACGAGGGCCCCGGGAGCAGTGGAGCCTCAGTCCCCGCCCCCCCGCGCAGCAGGGAGCAGAAAGCGCCAGCCCGAGCATCCCGGGAGATCGGGTCCGGGGGCTCCAGGCAGCTGAGCGCGGTTAGCTCAGCTAACCTGGGTTCCAGTTACCTGGCCATTTACTAGGCCTTTCACCTCCCCAGCCTCCTCGCACCTTTATCTGGGGCTAGAAGGAGGTTGGGGTTCGGGGTGCAACCTAGAGGCCTGGAAATAGATGCCCCGCAATAGCCATTGCTAACTCCAGAAAGGACATTTCCACGTTTCCATGGCTTGCCACTTTGCTGCCCCCACACAGGCACTTCCACTGTAAAACGCAGAAAGGGGCATGGGTTTTGAGGATTGGCCCTGACGACCAGCACCACCGTCGAAACAGACGGGCCAAACCCACTGAAGAGAGAATGGACATAAGGCCTTCCACAGCCCCCTGCTTTTAAAACTACTATTATTCCCTTCAGCGCCCTGGAAATTGTTGGTGTTTATTTAGGAAGTGTGACACAGTTATTGGGTCTTTAGAAACTTGGGATGTTAAGGGGGTTTGATTTGGTTCCCAAATACCTTGAAAAAGAAACAGCGCACCTGGGGTCAGGCGGGTCATCACAATAACAAAAAGCGCTTCTACAAAATAAAAAGCTCTTTTATAAAGAAAGGCAATCCCGGAAATCCACTGCAAGCCTTCCTGATGACCATCTAGCTAGGCCTATTCTCAGGTTTAATTGGCAGGCGGTTTATTGGCGCCTTATTGGTGTTGATTGAAATTTTGCTCCCAGTCTTTTATTTTAAAAATTAGCATCTCAAGTCGATTTACCTGAGTCAATTATCTTTTTAGGGTCTAGGTTTGGTCATAAATTTGCAAATATTCATTAAACTCACTTTGTAAATATCCCTCTTTCCTATCGCTACCCAAATCTCTATTATTTCCTAAGAAAGTCTTTTCTTTTTTAAGGCTTCCATAAAAAGAAATTGATCAGGGAGCTATATTTGAATTAAGACATATTAAATCGATGACAGATACATATCATGCTGTGTTTAACAAGAGTTGTACAAGGAGGCGGGTTCCAGATTCCGCACGGCTCTGCTGCACCATTATTCACATTTTTACAGCCTTTCCTTCATGCCTTCACCCATTAAACCATTAAATTTCAGCAATTCAATAAAACAAAGCAGTTATAATTTTGACGAAAAGCTATTTTGAAGGGGGTGGAGGTACCCATTTATTGCACAATAAAAATGCTCAACAGTCCATATTAAAGGCTAGCGTGTGTTTATTTTCTTCTTTCTTTATTCTTTTTGTTTTGTTTTGTTTTTACTTATAACCTGCAGCATTGAACCCAAGGCTGCCATTACTGCAAGAATTAATGCTTATTGCCAAGAAATTAAAATAAAGGAAACGCATCGGAAATGTTCTGAGAGGAAATCAAGACGGTGATGATAATTCCAAATATAATGCTTTCTTCATAAACCATCTATAAAGATGGCACAGTTCTCGATCGACCTTCGCCTGGTTGGCTTGAAATGTTTTAAGTCTTTGACACAGAAAATTGTGAAAGGACTCGTCCTCTCCAAATAAAGATGAGGATTTTGTTACTGCTGTTTATTAAATTGTTTTCGTTGTGTTTCCACACACACCTTTAATTCCTCATATTTGAACTTCATTGAAGCTTAAAGAAAAAGTCCATTTGGAATTTGATGGTAGCATTGTCTTTGATTGCTTGTACAAGAAATGACATTCCTAAGTCTCATACCGAAGCCCCCTGTTAAACATCGTTCATACCAATGTAAATGGCGCTATCTAATCGACTCTTTTGAGAATATTTCTGATTACTTCCCAGCACCATCGCCCCGATAATGGCTTTGGGCGGTCTACTTTTACTTGGACTGCAAACGAATTAAGTTGGAAACATGTTTTATTGTATCCCCAAAGGAAAAAAATCACATTCTAATCATTATCACTTTTTTTTTTACAAGTAATGTTACGGATGGCAGCAAAATAAAAAATTTAAAACCCTGGACTTTAATATGCGAGCATTGTGAAACATCATAAATTTCAAAAAATGCTTTCTTTTAAAATCTGAAAAGGACACTTTGGGGCACTACAACTCCTAACTTGGGGGGAGGTGTCCCACATTTCTCTGCCAAAAAGTGATGCAGGAAATTTCTATTAGAAAAAAATCGATTTGTTACCAAACCACTGGAAAGGGATGGGATTCGCTTTTTTGAAAGCCAGTTTTTATGGTTTTCAAATAAGACATCTTAGAGGTAGACTGGTTTATTAGAAAACGATAAGGTGAAAGATCATTAGTAAATGAAAATCAAATATATTTATTGATTTCAAAATAATATTTTATTGGATCAGTTCTAATTGTGGACCGGTCAAAGAAACTGAGGCATACACGTCGACTGTGATCTGGACCGGAAGGAGAACTTCTGCTTAAAGAACGGTGCTTATTTAGCGGCTAATCTCTGAAGAGATGCCGTTTAGCCTGCTCTGCCTGCCACTGTATGTCCGAAAGGCAAAAGTTAGAATCGCTGTCCGATCTCCTCTCCCCCGCCCCTACTGTAGATCTAATTGGAAGTGGCAGATCTAGAACCGATGAGTAGTGAGATTACACTTCGAGCCAACTCCTTTGAACCATGTTGAAAAGGACTCCATGAGCTAAAAAGTCGAGGTAAAACGGTTCCTCTGGGGAAATACTTATTTTGACTTCACCTGGTGTTTCGCGGAGCCAAATCACTGAAGTTGTCTTGCAAGCAATAGACTTTATCTTCTTCAGTCCGTCTACCGTCTGTGCGCCCCAGGTGAGCGCTAGGCGGGTTGGGTGTCCAAATAAGGAGTTTCTAGCATCACCACTACAGGTAGGACGTGCTGTTCACCCCTCCCCCAAAGAGCAGCCTAGGGCTCTTCCACCCCGAAAGGGAAAGTACTTGGGTGCCAGAAGGCACACAGCGAGAAGTGAGGTCGAGGTTTTGGAAACTGGAACTTTGCTTCTAGTGGGACCCCAGCCCCTCACCACCCCGCGCCCTCTGCCCGTGTGCCTGCCCGCGCTCCGCGAGGTGCGTCAAGAGAACTCCGGGCGCTGCGCGCGCAGGCCAGGCTCAAACTTTCTGCAAGTGCAACTTGGGCATCCCTGGGGAGGCGGGGATGCGGGGCTCCAGCAGAGGAGGGGGCGCTCAGGGAAAGCTCCGGCGGCCGCGAGCACCAGGGCGGATCCCTGCTGGGTCGAGGGCCTGAACGGGAGCCAATCGGGCAGCCGAGGCTACTGCCAATCACGCGGCTCCCTCCAATCCCACCCGTGCCATTTCCAAAATCTCGGTCCCACTGTGCAGCTCAAATGTGGTGTTCACTCTGCCAATCGCTGGAGGATAGAGTGGGAACAGGAATAAGCAGAGTTAGGAGGCCAGGACAAAAGAAGTTAAAGAGCGCCTAGTATATACATGTTTTTGAAGGCGGGCAGAGGGAAAAAAGTCCCCCCAGTGAGGGTCTATGGGCCTGATTGTGTAGTTCTGATGGAGCCCCCTTTGAGCAAGAGGAACCCGCCAGCGCTGAGATTAGCGGATTTGGCAACGGCTCAGGTCCAGCCGCTTCAGAATATGACAGGCTTCCCGGCGCTGGCCGGCCCGCCCGCCCACTCCCAACTCCGCGCAGCCGTCGCGCACCTCCGCCCGCGGGACCTGGGCGCTGACCCCGGCGTGGCCACCACTCCGCTCGGACCCGAGCACATGGCCCAGGCAAGCGCGCTGGGCCTCAGCCCTTCCTCCCAGGCGCTCCCGGCACACCCCGAGGCTCCGGCGGCCGCCGCCCTTGCAGCGGCCTCGGTCGCGCACCCTGGCGCGGGCAGCCACCCCTGTGGCGGGGGCAGCAGCGGCGCGCAGCCCTCCGCGCCCCCGCCCCCAGCCCCTCCTCTTCCTCCCTCCTCTTCACCCCCTCCCCCTCCCCCGCCTCCTCCTCCTCCTTCTGCCCTCTCGGGCTACTCCACCACCAACAGTGGCGGCGGCGGCAGCAGCGGCAAAGGCCACAGCAGGGACTTCGTCCTCCGGAGGGACCTTTCCGCCACGGCCCCCGCGGCGGCCATGCACGGGGCCCCGCTCGGAGGGGAGCAACGGTCGGGCACCGGCTCCCCCCAGCACCCGGCCCCGCCTCCCCACTCGTCCGGCATGTTCATCTCCGCCAGCGGCACCTACGCTGGCCCGGACGGCGGCGGCGGCCCGGCGCTCTTCACCGCGCTGCACGACACGCCAGGAGCCCCCGGCGGCCACCCGCACCCGCTCAACGGCCAGATGCGCTTGGGGCTGGCGGCGGCTGCGGCAGCCGCGGCGGCTGAGCTGTACGGCCGCGCCGAACCGCCCTTCGCGCCGCGCTCGGGGGACGCGCACTACGGGGCGGTGGCGGCCGCTGCGGCCGCCGCCCTACACGGCTACGGAGCCGTGAACTTAAACCTGAACCTGGCGGCTGCAGCAGCGGCTGCAGCGGCCGGGCCGGGGCCCCACCTGCAGCACCACGCGCCGCCCCCGGCGCCGCCGCCGCCGCCGCCGCCGCCGGCGCCCGCGCAGCACCCGCACCAGCACCACCCCCACCTCCCAGGGGCGGCCGGGGCCTTCCTGCGCTACATGCGGCAGCCAATCAAGCAGGAGCTCATCTGCAAGTGGATCGACCCCGACGAGCTGGCCGGGCTGCCGCCGCCGCCGCCGCCACCGCCACCGCCCCCGGCCGGCGGCGCCAAGCCCTGTTCCAAAACTTTCGGCACCATGCACGAGCTGGTGAATCACGTCACGGTGGAGCACGTGGGCGGCCCCGAGCAGAGCAGCCACGTCTGCTTCTGGGAGGACTGTCCGCGCGAGGGCAAGCCCTTCAAGGCCAAATACAAGCTCATCAACCACATCCGTGTGCACACCGGCGAGAAGCCCTTCCCCTGCCCCTTCCCGGGCTGCGGCAAGGTCTTCGCGCGCTCCGAGAACCTCAAGATCCACAAGCGCACTCATACAGGTGGGTGTCTGTCCCCGGCCGCGCCGCCGCCGCCACCAACTCCTGCGCCGCCGCCGCTTCCGCCGCTGCTTCTCCTCCTCCTGCTCGCCTTAATTTTTTCCTCCTTCTGCTGCTTCTCTTCGCATACGTATAACCCGGACATGTGACTTCTTTTTTTTTCTCTCCCCCTCTTTTTTTCTATGAATAAGTAATTCGATAGCATACACAGGCCCCGCGTTGGGTTGCCACACGGCGGAGTCTCCAGCGCGCCCGCAGCCCCTCAGCCGGGACAGGCCACGCGCGCCAGCCGCCGCCACCGCCACCTCGGAGCAGATGCTGCAGCAGCTGGAGCAGGAAGGCGCCCAGGACGGTCGGCAGCCCCCACCCGTCCGGCCCCGGGAAGTCGGGGAGGGCGATGGGAAAAGAGGCCGGAGCCACCTCGGCAAGCGCCTCGCTTCCCACCGGGTCGTAGGCCCCACGCGGTCGCCGAGCTCCGAGGACCGAGCGTGGGATTTGCTGCGGGATTTGGGCCGCTCGAGGCAGCCCCTCCGGGAGGGGAAGGGACCCCTCTGGGAAGACAGGAATGCGCTTTCGGGCCCCCAGAGACCACAAGTACTCGCACACCCCTCACGTACACCTTCGCTTGCATGCGTCTCCTATAATTTTACACTCATGTCCTCGCGTGCGTGCACCCCATTCTCGCGACACCGACACCTGTATGTCCTCACACTCACACCATAACACGCCCTCTCGCACTCAGTATCACACTCGCCCTGGAGGGCTGGAGTTAACATCTGTCCTAGAGAACGTTCTAGTTGGAGGAGGACCGAGCATCCCGCCATCAGTGAGGCCTACCCTGTCGTGGAATTTGGGGGACGCCCTCGGCGTCGTAGGGACCCTCCCACCCCACCTCAAGCCCTGCCTCTGGGGGTCCCACAGCTCTGAGGAGGGCGACTGCAGCTCGGGGCAGTGGGATGGCTCCTGTGGGTCGTGTGCCCCCTTCGAGCGGACGAGCGCGTCGGGCGGAAGCGCTGATGACCGCGAGCGCAATCGGGATTTATAGGGACAAACACGATTACCCCTCGGAGGACACTTAAGTAACAGGAGTTTACGTTCAGTAATCACTTGGTTGATTTATCGGCGCTGCCGCGGCCAGGAGGCAGCGGTCGGGGCTGGGGGCGCTCTTGGCTCTGCGGGGCAGCCGCGTCGGGGTGACCCGAGGCAGGAGCCCCGGCCTGGCTCCAGTTTGCCTTCCTGTCCCAGGCCTCCCCTGCAGGCCCCCTGATGGCCGGCGGGGAGCACGTTTTCCCTGGAGCCCTGTTTCTTTCTAATCGGGATCAGTCCGCCTTAATGATTTTTCCAGAAGGAAACTTCCCAGGAGGCTCTCGTAAAAAAGCCCTGGCCCGCTAAGCCGGCTGCTCGCTCCTGTGCCCAGCACTTCTCGGCCGGGCCGGGTCTAGGGACCGTGAAGCTGCTCCCCACCTCGGCCCCCAAAAGAAACCCCCAAGCGCGGTGCCGTGCGCGGACTCTGGCCCTTCCCGCCAGCCTAGGCCTGGCCAGGGGAGCTGATTCCCTTCGCAGCTACCGGGAGCTGCGAGCGCGGAAGCCGATCCGGACCCCGGCGAAACGGGCCGTCCCCCCGCCCCCTGTCCCCGATGGCTTCCCGGGTCGCGCGCGTGTACGTGGGGTCGGGGCGGGGGCGCAGGGGACCCCGGGTGCCTAGGGGACCCGTGGCCATTAGGTTTTTGGCCCCGAGTCTGGTGGACGGTTGCATTTCCTGTCCCCTCCCGGCGGCCGCGTGGGCCCCACCCGGTGGAGTGTGGGGATTCCTCCGGGAGGGATGCGGGCGCCTTGGGTTCAGAGTCCAACCCTCTCGCGGTGTTTCTGGGGGTCCCTGGGCCGCTCAGCCATCGGGCATTGTGTCCTGAGAGGGCCCATCCGGACTTACTTCCCTCCCTGCCACACCGCTCACCCTTTTGGGGGTTATCCGGGATCCCGGAACGGATTGATCAAAGGGACTAATCCCTGGGCCACTCCCGAAGGCCCCTTTCCTGACCCACGTGCCCCCAATTCCGTTTATAACCCGTCCTGCGGGCCTGACTCTCGAGCTCTCTCGGGAGAGGGAGCTGCTAGGAGCTGGCGGTACCCGAACGTAGTTCGTTACTTTCCCACATGCTCCAGGCTCTCAAACTCAGTAAATAGTTAAATTCTGACGTGACCCGTCTGTCGGAATCTTAAATGTAAACACTGAGGTCTCTCAGCCTTTCCAGTTAGGTAGACTTTGCTCATTCCCCTAGGCCCCCTGAGCACACAGGCCGCTCCATTGCCCTGGCCTTGTTCTCTGCTGTTTCTCCGAGAACCTCTTCCTTTCTTTACCTCTACTGTTCCACCTTGCCTTCCACCATATCCCTCCCTTTCCTGAATCTAGTTGTTTGCCTTTTTCGTGTGCAGTGGAGGAGTTAGCAGTGTTGAAAGCGTTTATTCACAATCCGGGATATGTAGGTTGCACAGAAACAGGAACATGCTGAAAGCAGCACTGCATTTTTCGTAGGGTGGGTACCAAACCACGTACGCCTCCATATTGAAGAAAGGCTGATTTTAATTTTTTAAAAAGAATGTGACATTAACTTGGTCTTATCTATGACTTAAAGTGTAATATAGAAATCAGGACAAATCATTGATGTTTTGATAAAAAAGGGATTAGCTTTGTTTTTGGTGAAACTCATCCACAGAGAATTTTTAGAGGTTGTGACTATAATGGAATTGTGTTGTGTCTCTCTTTATATATCACTGTAGGAGGCATATTTGAATAATGTCTAATTCTATTTTAAAACAGTATTTCCAGATAGGCAAAGTGAAATTCCAGGCTTCCATCTGAATACTCCCAGATGTGCTAGCAGACTCTGCCATCCAGGCAGTTACGTTGTACAACTCCCTGCAGTCAAATACCTGCAGAGGTTGCAAGAAAATTCACCGCAGAAATGTGTACACTAGCTGAGGCTTCATCGTTTCTTTTTGAACATAAGTTATCCAAAACAAGGGAAAATGTCCTACCTAGTATGTCACCAGAGGAGCTGCTGAAATGGGAGCAATTCGCCTTTATTTTTAAATTCTTTACATAAAAGAGGAAAATATTATTAATACAATAATATGTATAAAATGATTTGTTCAATTCTGGACTCAACTATATCAAGTTCAGGGATGCCAAGGGGAGAGGGAAAATACAGTGAGACTGTTGCTTGCTGTCTTCCTTTTCTTGCTATTTAACACCAAAATGTAGTGTGGCTGAATTTCTCTAGTTGTCTTATTAAGTATTTCCATTTCCTGGACCGGAGGCCTTGTGTTTAAAGGCATTGTGTTCGGGGGGTGGTTAGGTCAGCTTCAGGAGGTGTCAGGCCAAAAGACCCTGGCCTTTTTCAGAAAATCTTTTTGACTACTGAGCAATGTAGGGAGCTATGGGAATAAGTGTACTTATGGTATAAGGTAAAAGGTAGGTTCTGCTAAGGTTTGTGGTCTTTATCATTGTTTGTTAAGGCTCTGTGCTGCTGTGCTCTTAACCACCCTGCAAGTGGTAGGAGAGCTGTAGCATGCAGAGGCCAACAGCCTATTCTCTGCCCAGCTAGCCCTGTAAAAACCGAGTGCTGGGAGTGTGTTTCACAGGTGCCTCTGTTTCTAAAGAAAAGCATTGTTTTGTTTTACCTCCTTCCCTTTCCCAGCTCCACATTCTCTCCTGCTACCCCTCTCCATCAATGAAATGCTAGTGAGCACTGAAAGGAAATGCCATTATTATAATTTTACTGTACCCCAGTTTACTTTTAATTTAGTGTATGCGTTTGGTTTTTTTTCTCTTTCTTATATGCTTACTTCCGCCTGTGGCTTTGGAAGTATCATTTTGTGTTTATTTTGACAGAAGGATCTCCTGCTTGTGTCTTTGAGTGTACAGACCCTGAGGGGAGTGTATCTGTGGGAGGAGGGGGTCTTCGGGTCCCAGGTGGGTTTCAGTGTTACATACTGCTCTTAGTTCAGCACTGGGGATCTCACCCTGACCCCTCTGGGACTGCAGGGGCTGACAGCCTCTTAGGAGCCCAGGTCCAAGCAAAGCCACCAGGCCAGTGGACTCCAGGCCCATCCTTGAAATATCCCTTCCCTTTTATGAATTACAAAGAAGAATTAGGCTGGGAGGTGGTCTTTGGGAGAATAGGAAAAACACATCCTTGATTCTGCTCCAAGGCTTCTCTCAAGTGAGGGGTCTCTGGAAAGCCATTGTTGACTCTTCCTGTGTTTTGTTGCAGGGGAAAAGCCTTTCAAATGTGAATTTGATGGCTGTGACAGGAAGTTTGCTAATAGTAGTGATCGCAAGAAACATTCCCACGTCCACACCAGTGACAAGCCCTACTACTGCAAGATCCGAGGCTGTGATAAATCCTACACTCACCCGAGCTCCCTGCGGAAGCACATGAAGATTCACTGCAAGTCCCCGCCACCCTCTCCAGGACCCCTTGGCTACTCATCAGTGGGGACGCCAGTGGGTGCCCCCTTGTCCCCCGTGCTGGACCCAGCCAGGAGTCGCTCCAGCACTCTGTCCCCTCAGGTGACCAACCTCAATGAGTGGTACGTTTGCCAGGCCAGTGGGGCCCCCAGCCACCTCCACACCCCTTCCAGCAATGGAACCACCTCTGAGTCTGAAGATGAGGAAATTTACGGGAACCCCGAAGTTGTGCGGACGATACATTAGAATTTATGATTAATAATAATAAGTGAAATAATAAGTGGGAGTCCTTGGACCACTTCCTAACCTGAGACAATGCCGAGCCTGAGACAAACCCGTGACTCAGACTTGCCACCAGGTCTAATTAGCCCTATTTATTCAGTATGAAACCCTATGGTGTTTGTACATTTAATTAATTTAATTAAGATATTTGGGCTTTTTTTTTTTTTTTTTTTTTTTTTTTTTTTCTTAAAAAGCAAACAAAAAACAACCAAGCTGGACTTGTACATTGCAGGAGGACAGGGCTGGGGGCAAATTGTACCAAGGAAAATGGAGAGATCAGTTAAATGAGATACACACTGCCGATGCAATATATATATCTATTTTTTTAAGGGGGAGAAAAAGAGCATTAAGTCAGAACTTAACACAGCAACAAGGCCCTCTGCATTTCCTGGAGTGCCTCTCAAATGCCTTTAACACCATACTGTAGGCTGCTTTTGAGCCTCCTTGCTGGACCCTAATTCTGCCAAGGCCTCTTGATTGTAAACTACACACCTGCTGCATTGCCAACAGATCCTGGACTGTACCTGTGTCCAAAAATATTTGTAAAAACCCTTTGAGTTTATTGTTTGTAATTTTTAATTTTCTGATCTCACCTTCACATAATATTTTTATACAGGATTATTTCTTCAGTATTCTACTGTGTGATTTTAAAAAAATAAGGTGCAGCACCCTTAAGATATCTTCATATCTTGTGCTACTGTGATTGTTCAAGCAAAAGTGGGGAGAAGAAAAGCTGCTGCGATAAGACAACTGTGAAACTGTGATGTTTTATAAAATAGAGGAAATTCAAGTGCTTTCTTTTTCCTCTTTGGTGTTTTTTTTTTTTTTTTTAATCTGAATTCTCAGATACTGCCTCCTAACTGTCCAAACTTACTGTGTAGTAGAGATGCTGTTTTCCATCCTATGTTCTTTGGGATGCCAGCATTCACAGTCAAGTCTTGTGGAGGTGGGATGATGGCATCATGCCTATTTTTTTGGAAAGCTGTTTTTGATAAACAGGCCAACCCCTCTTTTATACTGTTGTATCAACCTTTTAAAAAGTCTATTTTTCAATGCCTGAAGCTGCATTTTATTGCATTTTCTTCCACCTGAGCACTGAGCACACCAAACTGGAATCCATTTGAAAATGACAGTGTGTGAAGTGTATGATTTACATTAAAAGAGGGGAGGGAGTTGCCATACATATTAAAATTTTTAAAAGGTTTATAGTTACCGCCAAATGCTGATGAATGTGTGACCTTTGCCAGAGCTGTCAAGCTAGGATAAAAAAGGTCAAGGACCTAGGACAATAACTCTTAGTCAATTTATTTTCGGTTGGTACAACACATCTCCCGTGCAAAATGTAGTCCATCAGAAACATCATACAGATATACTAAAGAGCACTAATTTATCCTTAGAGACCCTGAAGACACCCCCTCCCCAGGGTTTGTAGAAATTTGTTTTGTGTGCTGTGAGTGGTTGATGTAGTCTTGTCATTGTTAATAACTTGTATGTGAACACTATTATTTGTACAGTTGAATTAATTTATTTTCAGACATCATCCTTTTCTTTTTCTGGAAGAGTTCAAAGCACACCAAAGAATTATATTATACATTTTGGTGAAATATTGTCATTTATGATCCATGGTTTATTTAATAAAAAAAGGAAAGAAAATGGAAAAATATATTTTTAAGCTTACTTGAATGAACAACGTAATGTGAAAACTAAGACTCTTCCTGCATGTCTTTTTTGCATTGTGTTGATGAGATTATATATAGTTTATAGATATATTATATGACTAGTACAGTGCATGGTGCTGTCACTTGGAAAGCCTTTCAATGTTGTCTTCAGATTGTTATGGTGAATATGAAACATGCAGACCCTCCTTTATAAAGAAAAGACCATAAAACTTGAATATGAGATAATTTTACATTTTAAAAGTTTATTTGATTTTCATATTATTCACTTTCAAAGCCCTTTCAAACAGAAAAGATAAGTTATGAACTTTTGGGGGGATAATTTATGTATCGTAAACTTATTAGAACAAAATATTCCTGATGTATAATGAGTTGTTTTATTTATACAACTTTTTCAATGGTAGTTTGCACTATTCTTTATTATGCTACAGGTTTATTTATTATGAAACAAAGGAATATGTATTTTATGTATTTTACCATACATAGGTTAACTCTTTGCCACAGATTTATTGGTTCTTGATACACCTAAAATAAAAACTTAAAATGTGTACCTCCAATAGAGAGCAAGCAAGAATGATTAAGAAGTAACAAATTTAATAAAGGTATTCTTATTATTACTGCTGATGTTTTACCTATTAGTGTATCTCTCATTCTCTTACAAACAGAACAGGTTGTGCCAATTTGAGTGAATGTCTTCCCTTGATCTCTTGATTTCTTAGCCTCTCCCCAAGCAGTGTAATATTTTTGCAGACTGGTTTAACTTCCAGCTTACAAGCTTATCTAGGAACCATGAGATTTTTATGAAGACTAAGCCTTGCAGGTTATACTTAAAGTAGCATAAATCTTTTGGGTGATTGTATTTATTTGTTAAAATAAGTAATATCCTGAGTGATTCTAATCAGTGAAAAGCTGAAAAGTGAATTTTAGCATTTCTTTGGTGCCTAGACTCCAAAAGGAAAAAAAAGAAAGAATGAAGATAACTTGGAGGGAGGGACAGTGAGGCTTCTAGACACAAAGAAGGTGGAAGCAAAATCGGTCAGGGGCTGAGATGGGTATTGAATCACATTGAGTAGTGGACATCGAATGCCTCTTAGAGTGTGGGAGATCAAGATGCAGTTTTACTGTAGTTTGTTCTGGAAGTTGAGTGGCTATTGGTAATGTAAGCTCAGCATTTTGGGGCAGGTGTGTAGAACAATTAGATTATTGCATGACAGCAAAACATTCAAGTGGCTTAAATGAAGGTATTTGGCTATGCACATTTACTAGGCTGGATGTTTGCTTGTGTTTTTGTTAGCAGATACAAAACTGATAAAGGCAAATAGTTAAAAGCAGTTGCTAGTAATGTCAATAAGCATTTCTCTGAAAGGTTATAGTGGCTTTTGAGAGTCAGGTTTGTTAAATGCAGTAAAGGTGAAACAGGTTGCAAAGAGTTGTTTTAAGTCAGATGACAATAACCAGCACACGAAGGAGAAAAACACTCATAAATGAGGGCCCCAATCAATGGGAAAACTTATAGCTCTCTAATGAAGTTTCTTGTGAAAAGAAGGGTGACACAAAGCCACCAAGACATGAATCATTCATGGGAAATATAAAAGATAAAAGATATCTGACAATGAGCAGAACCTTGTATAGAGTGTATAAAACAAGTTTCCCCTTCTTATTATCTGCTTTAAAACGCACAATCTCCCACTCCCAGAGTTCTCTGTCCAGTCTATAGAGTTAAAATTGACCACTGCTCGTCCTGCGCCACTTCAAAGTAATTTAGTCCAGAACGGAAGGCTTGGCGCTTGGACAATCTTCATGGTGTGTTAAGATTTCTATGGCAATTGGCAAGCAAGACGTTCCCATCTGAATATGTCTCAAAGAAAGCCACTTATTGACACTAAGTTGGCTATCATCAAAGACTTCATCTTTCCTAGGCAAAACGGTGGCCCTTGCAAATACTGTTTAAATCATCTACCTTTGTTTTCCAGGCTAGGAGAATCTTCAAACGCACAATTATTTGAAGTTCATGTATATATTTTTTCCCATTCAGGATGATCTTTGGTAAAGCTAATGGTCCTAAAATCTACACTCCATAGAGTTTGAGGGTGGGAATGATATTCTCTTAAGATGGCCACACAAGCATCATAGCACTAGGGACAGGAAAAGAGGAGGCCCACTCTCTGCAAACAGTTTGCACTCTCTTATAAGTGATCTCTTTCACTTTGGGGAAGGTTTTGGAGACCATTATGCTTTTATCCACCCAGCAATCTTTCATCTATCATCTCTCTGTCTACAAAATGGGACAAGAGGTGCTGGCCACTAGTATTTTTAAATCCCAGTTTGGTTAGGAAATACAGCTCCTGGGGAGGAGGCAGGGAAGACATCTGGTTTCTCAAGCGATCACCATAAGCCTGCAGAAAAGAAGGCTGATCACAAGGTAAACAAAACAACCCAACCGCTGATTATTAACTGTACTTCCATCCCCTGACATCACCCCTGGCCTGCCAGTTCACCCACAGTGTAGCAAAACAGGGCGCCCGGCCACGGAAGACTTCCAGGTCTGGAGGCACAGGGAGGCCGGCAGGAGACCCGAGGTGAAACTGCCTTGGGGCCCCCAGCACACTTCCCCTCGGTGGACAAAAACTCAGCCCCACGCCCACGCACTCCCCGAGCACACATTAACATACACGCAAGTGCCTAATCAGGCAGAGAGAAGTTCAAAGTTATGGGGTTTTGTTTGTTTGTTTGAAATTCAAACTATTGCTTCTATGGTCCATCCACGAGGAGCGTCAGGATCGCTATGGCAGTGGGCAGGGCCAGGGGAGTCGCAGGCAGAGGGGCCACTGCGATTCGAGACAGTCGATGAGACACAGCTGGAGTGACCTTTACGTTCCTGCCAAGTTAGTTCAGTACATTTGCACCTCATCAGAAATGCATCTCTCTCTCTCACTCTCTCTCTCTCTCCCCCCCCCCCCCCAGTGTTGGTTAAGATTCACCCATAGAACCTTATAGCTGGAGAGAAAGCGGAGAGAAAGAATGAAGAAAGGAGGATAGGAGCGGAGGAGAGTCGGGGTGAGGAGTGGGTGATGTTAGAAGGGTGGGGGGAGAGGGGCAGGGGCGCCAGAGCCCCAGTTCCTCTTCCTTCTCTCCCCACCTAAGTACTTTTATTTGCAGAGCGATTGTTCTTTGTTTATTTAATACAAGTACTGTGTGAATGGTGAAAAATAAACACGATGAAAAATAACCAAACAGATGATTCCTCCGAGTGAAAAAGCCCGGACTTAATAAAAGTGCGAAGCAGTCACCGCTGAATGAGAAACCCTTTGAAGTGGAACTTATTATAGGAGGAATACTTTGGGGTTGCCTTAACGACGCCGTTGAATCGAAAGCGCTCGCCTTTGTCAGCGATTTGTTCTCCTTTGCTGGGGTGCCCGGAGAAATTACTTACATGGGCTGCCTTAACATGCAGCCTGCAAATCAGTAACTTTGCAGCTCAGACTCGCAGACGCCGCTCGGCTGCGGACAAAAAGAGTCAGTGGGGAAACGCACCAACCTTTCACGCCGAGGCTCTGGAGCTGGGGGCGCACGGGCGTGTTGGGGGCGGCAGATAAGAAGTTGTATTACAACGGCCCCGCTCGCCCAGGCTTCCCTCTTCTTCCCCCCGGCCCCCTCCCCCCGCCCCCGCCCCCGCCTCCGCTAGTCCGGGCTGAGGCTCTGCCGGTCCAGACCCCGATCTGTGGCAGGGGAGGCCCGACTCCTCCAGGGCCCTCCAGCGAGGGGCGCTCTAGGGCGCCGGGGCAGGGCGCGAGACTTTCCCAGAGACCCGGGCCATATTTAATAAGGGTCGTTCATCACCGAGGCGCTTTGAAGGGTCGCCTCCAGCCCTGTGCCCATTAGAAAGGCGGAGGTGACATTTAAACTCCGTTTTCAAGGATCGCGGGGGGATTTCATTGAAAAGGCAACTCGTTTGTCTTATGAGCCTGGAAACAACCCCCTTCTCGCTCCTTTTGACCACATGGCATAACTCAAAAACAATAGTTCAAAAGTGAAATAGCATCGTGGTGTTCATTCGGAGACAGGCCCCCATCTAGCATCAGAGAAAAGGGGTAGTCCGCAAGACAATGTGCTTTTTGTGTCCGACTCTGTCACAAGGATTGTGTTGTTTGCTTTGGAGGCTGCGCCTGTTATACTTTCCTGAAAGTGCTTGTGTTAAACAAGAGTTATAAGTCATCCAAAACAACAAACATTTTGATTTTCTTTGCCTAAAGGGCTTTCCCTGGCTATGGGCACCGTGAAAAAATAATGTCGTTGCTGAGAAAGGGACACCAGTAGTAGCATTACAAGCGAGAGCATTAAATATTGAATGACACGGGAAAAAGAGCTTGTCGAGGGGCACTCAGCCTTAAAGGCTTTCTTCAACTTTGTCTTCGGTGGCTGCTGGACTATTTAAGATGGTATTAATTAAGGCAGCTTCGGATGCTGCCGAGCCAGCCGGCCCCTCGGCCGCGTTCGGTCAATGGGCCTGTGCCCCCGCTCTCTGCTCACGCGTTGGCTGAGCCGAGTGCAAATGTCACTTCTCATTTGGAGGCTGAAGAGAAGTGCCCATCCTGCATTAAGGGCAGCAGGAATGCCGTCAGCAGCAGGCGTTAAAGGAATACGAGGGACTGGGGTGAGGGGGGAAGAGGCGGGAACAAAATGGGAACAGCTGCCCGGGGCGGGGTCGAGAGTGCGCCCAGCGCACCGCTTTTGGCACATTTGGAGAGCGCCGCTGGCAAACTCCGGCCATGCGGGACTCGCTGTGTTGCAAGCCCCCCTCTCTTTCGTCGTTCCTGCGTGGGGAAAATGAAAACTCCAGCCCTGCACAAATCCATTAGGCAGGCTGGCAGGGCGTTATTTTACAAAGGGACTTGCTTCTACAAAGAAAGACAAAAGCTTGGTGCAAACAGGCGTCTTGACTGACTTCCACCTCCCCCCTGCGGTCCTCTTCACAGATCACAAATAAATAAAGCCCAAAGGACCTCAGCTAAGAATCTCCAGATCCAATTTTACAGATGGCGAAACTGAGGCCTCAAGCAAGACTCAAACTGATTTTTGTCAATATTCCGAGAAGTCAGAGGTCGAGACCCTAATGGACACCAAAGACCCAGGCGGGAGTGGAGTTCTCTTTAAAGTCGCCAACAACCACGCCAAAATGTCCCTTCCCCCTGCCCCCCATTGCAAGTATTCGATTCCAAATCAAATGGAAATTGGTTTCAGCCGTTGAAAATTCCTAACACAAAAAAAAAAGGAATGAAGCTTACTGCCAACTGAGTGTGGCATAAATGAAATGCATGCTCTGAGAAGCTCGGTTAACTATCAGTTCTTGATGAAGAGAGACAAGATTTGGCTGGGCAGAGGGGGCAGGGCATCCTGAGGACTGATTTTTTTTCCAGCCAGAAACCCAGCAGGCTCCCCGGTCCTCCATCTCCCTAAGTGGCCTTTCACCTGGATGTGAGCCTTCTCTTTTACCACACAGCCCTTGTAGGTGGGGGGAGATGCAGTAAAATGTGCTCCCCACCCCCACCCCCGTGTGTGTGTGTTTTGTGTGTATGTGTGTGTGTGTGTGTGTGTGTGTGGTTTAGCACCCTTAGCTTTTAATTCATTTGCAATGTCTGATTCTCCATCTTAAAGTGTGTCCACTCAGGGCTCCCTCTGGCCTTTTGGATAAGGGGCGGGTCATGTTTCCACCGAGAGCGGTGCTGCAGGAGAACTAGTCCCTACCCTTCCTGCAGAGACTGGAATCTGAGCGCGATGGGTGGCCAGGGAGCTCGCATTCAGACAGCCCTGAGATGCGGGCCTGGGGCCCTACGCCCCACTGGCAGCTGGAGGCGTCGGTCTGGGACCAAAGAACGCCTGGCCGGGTCAGAACGCGGGCAGAGGTGGGCGGTGGGGCAGCGAGAGAGGGCCGCACCAGAGCAGCCCACTCCCGCACAGCCTAAGACTGGAGTTCCCAGGCCCAACTGCCTACCTGCGTGATCCATTTTGCACATCTTTCCTCATTCCCCTTCTCTGCTCTCCCTATATCCTTCACTTATTTTGCATGAACAGGGCCCAGGCCAGGATAACTGATGCAGAAAGATGGCCTTTTGGCCGGGAATGCACGCTGTCGCGCGCGCATACACCACCTCCCCCCCAACCCCCCACACTTACACACGCACAATTCAACCCCCCAGCCCCGCCCTAGCCAGTGCACTGGGCACACACTCGGGATCCAGGCACCTTGCCAAGAGCGCGCGAGCACCCTGCGTGGCACACTGGTTGGAGTTCCTGCATGAAGTGGCGGGGGTGGAGTGAGGAGGGAGGGGTGGGCGGCGGTGCACGCCGCCGACTGCTGGCGGTGCTCACAAGTTCAGTGCTCAACTTCCCGCTCTTAACGAGAGCCGGGATCCCTTTGGAGAGGCCCTCGGGAGCTGGCGACGGGGCTGGGAGTGGCGTGGGTAAGCTGGCCGGCGCGGGGCGCGGGCGGCGGGGCACAAGGGCGCGACAGGAAGAGGGCGCGAGGGTGCCCGCGGCCGGCCGGGCGCTCCGAGAAGTCATCGCGAGCAGCTGTGACTTCACCTATTAGCCCCGATGTCTTTCCGAGGAGCCTGGTGGAGTTAAACAGCCCACAATGGGCGCTCTGGGGCGCCTCCAGCCTGACCTCCACCCGGGTTTAATAGTTTCATAGGAACTTCATTAAATCAATTACTTAGTGAGCACATCATCATTTATTTGTAATTAGCAGCGAGGAGCGCGTTCTCTCCCCCAGCCCGCGGCCCGGGTCCCAGCGGGGTTGACGAGTTGTGCAAGCACTTTTGTTTGCTCGAGTGTTGACTCCCGGCATTATTCGGCCCGGGTAATCTTTATGTCTCAATCTAGTATTCAGGGGGCGAAAGCAAAACAAACAGGGCGCAGGCCCGAGGCCAGCCCTTTGGTCCCAGCCGCCCCAGAACTCGGCCCTCGCTGGGCGTGCAGGGCGCACCTCCGCGGCCCCCGCTCCTCCGGGGAGGAAAAGGCTAGAGCGCCACCGGGGCAGAGGGGCCGAAGCCAGGCCGGGGGGTCCAGAATGAAAGTGGCGAAGGAAGAGGAGAGCAGGGAACGAAAGGAGAAAACCAGGAGCTCCGGGCCTGCAAAAAGAGCACAAAAGGGAAACGTCCAGGCTCCCGCACGTGTGAGAGCGGCCTTGGAGGGGGAATGCACATTGTACATGTGTGCAAATGTATATCCATGCACATATGTGTGTGCGCACGCAGGAAGTGCGTGAATCACATCCATTTCAGTTGCCCAGGGCTGGGCGGAGAGAGAGAAGCGGGAGCAGGAGGTGCCGGTCTGGCGTGCACCGAGGCAGCTCACTGAGTGCCTGGGCTGCAAAAGTGCTTTAATTGGTGGTGGTGGCGGGGGGGGGGGGGGGCGGCAGCCCCGGGCACAGCTCCACTGCGGCCCACAAATTAGGAGCGAGTGGTTAGCGAGGAGGGGGGAGTTGCTGAAAGCTGGGCCAGAACCTGCGCGTGCGGAGCGGCACGAGTAATGGCTCCGCGAGGAGTCGTGATTCCTTTCGAGGGTAATCATCTTTCCCGACACGCCGCAGCTCCGGCCAAATCTCGTTTACATCCAAGGAGTTGCAGCTCGCCCGGCCAGAAACGTGGGCGACCCGCCCCTGCGTCCTTGCCCCGGCCCCGGTTTCCGCTCCAAGCTTGAAGTCCAGCTTCCAGCACAGGAAGCGCTCAACTTCTGGGGCTATCCCAGCTCAGGAAACGGAGAGGGGCGGGGAGGCGAGGGGTCATTGATGACCCGGCCTGAGTTTCCCCAGGAGCAGGCGAATGTGAACAACTGTGAGGTGACGAAAGGCCGAGGGGACAAACGCCCCACGAGCGGGCTTTCAGAAGAAACAGTGGCCCCTGGGGATCCTTGAGGTCAGTCTGTTAGACTCCCTGGGGCTGTGAGGTTTTGAGGACCGGGTCCTGAATTTCTTCCCTGGTTCCGACGGCCAGGCCTAGCTGATCTGGGTTAATACTTGCAGGCAGGGAATATGTGAAGGCGGTGGTTTCAGTACAGCTCGAATCAGTGTCTGGAGTGTTTGTACTCTGGTGGGCCTGAAGAGGGTTCTGCGGCCCTGTGGCGAGACAGGGTCCGCCCTGGAGCGGGGGTGGGGAGGCAGAGAGCTGGGTGTGGCCTCCCGGCCTCTCTGGACAGCCCCACACCCAGAGTCCACCAGCTATGGCTGTGTCTGGGTGCACACGTGCGTGAGGGTGGTTGTACTCTCAGGAGTGGGAGCTTAGCTTGCTGGGGAGCCTGGTGCCGGCTCTCCTGTGGCCTCTAGTCTGGGGAGCCAACGGCCCCACAATGCTTTGGGTTCTCAGGAGGGTGTCCTAAGCCTGCAGCTTTCTCACTCCCCCAGTCTTCTTGCATCTGCCTTTCCTCAGGTCTCACCATCAGACACCCATTCTGTTCCTCTCTCTCTATCCTCCTTTTCTGCAAAGTTGACTCCCAGGTCACTTGGCCTCTACCCTAGGGTCCTAGGTATCCTTTGCCTACAGGGCACAAAGATGAGAGAGGCAGGAGCAGCTAGGATCCTGTTTGAAATAGACTTTCTTGGCCGGGCATGGTAGCTCATGCCTGTATTCCCAGCACTTTGGGAGGCCAAGGTGGGAGAATCGCTTGAGGTCGGGACCAGCATGGGCAACATGGTGAAACCCCATCTCTACAAACTATAAAAAAATTAGCTGGGCCTGGTGGTGTGCACCTGTAATTCTAGCTACTCGGGAGGCTAAGACAGAAGAAGCATTTGAGCTGGGGAGGCAGAGTTTGCAGTGAGCTGAAATGGTGCTACTGCACTCCAAGCCTGGGAGATAGGGTGAGACTCAGTCCAAAAAAAAAAGAGGGGGGCTTCCCTCCAGCCCCCTACCCCAGAGGGGGCTCCCCAGAGCTCCCCGAGCTGCCCAGCTGCTGCTCACACCTGACAGTTTGGGTCAGCCTGAAAAATAGGAAATAGATTCAAATAAGGACCATCAACCAGCCAGTCAACAATCTGGGAGAAGCACCTTTTAAAATATAAAAAGCAGTTTGTAAGTTTGCATACTCCTCTGCCCCCATCCCCAGTGAATCTGTGCTGAAGAAGTTACAATGGGCAGGCTTCCAGAAGAATTACCAGGAAAAGGAAATCTTTTTTTTTTTTTTTTTTTTTTTTTTTGTGATGGAGTTTCGCTGTTGTTACCCAGACAAGTGCAATGGCACAATCTCGGCTCACCGCAACCTCCGCCTTCTGGGTTCAAGCAATTCTCCTGCCTCAGCCTCCTGAGTAGCTGGGATTACAGGCATGCACCACCATGCCCAGCTAATTCTTGTATTTTTAGTAGAGACGGGGTTTCACCATGTTGACCAGTATGGTCTCGATCTCTTGACCTCGTGATCCACCCGCCTCGGCCTCCCAAAGTGCTGGGATTATAGGCATGAGCCACTGCGCCCAGCCAGAAAAGGAAATCTTAAAGAATAAGGCCAAATGTGATTTTCTTAAAAATATCTGGGAGCCTAACATGATAAATACAAATGCTTCTTTGAGTCTGTTGTGCACATTTCTGTTCCAGTGTACAGAATACCTAAGCTTGTTAAATATATGTGTGCAGACAGGTGCACACATACACACACACACAATTATACCACATCTGAATCCCACCTTGCAAATTATCAGACCTAGCCAAATTTACGACGTTGAAGGAAGCAAGACTGAGAAAGGCTACATTTAAAATAAAAGTGAAATGTCGTTCATCCATGACTTCTCTCTCTCTTCCCCCTCACTCCCACCTCCTACACTATTTAATAAAATAGCATCATTTAGAGAAAAGATGGCAAGTCAGGGGACATTTTATGAGCTGGCAGGGAATTTGTTCAAGTGGTTGATTTAGAAAATCTGGAAACTGACTGCGAAGTTCTCTTAGTGATATTAATATTATATGTCTTTCTCCCCAATCCAAGTCCTAACAGCTTTTCTGCCATTATCTGGCTGGTTCTGTTCATGAATCAGTCTCTGTTCTGATTCTGCCTTTACTGGGCTGCATGTCCCATGGCCGTCCCACCTGCGGCCCTCCTTGGATCAGTGGGAACCCCATGCTGTGCTCCCCGAGCCCTTTCAGGAGAGCTACCCTTTCAGGGCATATGGGACCCTTCCAGGGTCCTTGCCACTGGATCTATCAGTCTGAAAACTAACAGGATTATGCCCACAGACTGTCCTCTCTCTGGGAGGGCCTCTAGTCACCAGTCATGAGTTTCATCCTCCTGACCTGGTGCAAAGAAGGACATCTGGCACTGGCATAGAAACCCATGCAGGGGGAGCCGGGAGTGTGTAGCAGCCTGGTTTCGGATAATGACATGTATGGGACATTTCAGGGAGGACCCAGGGGAGCCTTGGAATGGGAGGAACTATGCCAATGTTTGTCCCCTTTTAGGGGTGAGGGCAAAGGTCTGATTGCTCTGGCCATTTCTTAAGTAAACTGACCCGAAAGAACAAGCGTTAGAACAAACTGGCCTAGGGCAAGTGTCTTTTGTGTTCCTGACAGAACCTTCTGGCCACTTGCTGCTGGGTCACCACTGTGCGTTCTCAGAACCGGCAGTACTGGTGGATCCCTGTGCATAGCTGTGAGGGACAGAATCGGGAAGTGATTCCAGGCAACTCTACTCAGGGAGGAAGAACACCAAGAGACTCAGAGGCGAGTCCAGGAAAACCACTTCCCGGTAGCCAGCACCACCCCTCCCTGGCCAGTCCTCCTGCGATTTCCAGCCTCCAAGGCCCAGATCCTTCAGATTCACTCGGTAAAGCAAAGGGTGGGAATGGTCAGGAGACAAAAATATGTCTGCCAAGAACTTAAGTGTCTTTGGCCCCTGGCATGGAGTATTTACTGTTCTCCAACTTCTCCAATTGGAGTAGTGCCTATTAAGAAGGAAGCAGAGGCTGGGCACAGTGGCTCACGCCTGTAATCCCGACACTTTTGGACGCCGAGGCCGAGGCCAGCGGATCACTTTTTGTCAGGAGTTCAAGACCAGCCTGGGCAACATGGCGAAACCACATCTTTGCTAAAAACACAAAAATTTGTGTGTTTTTGGTGCAAGGCCTGTAGTCCCAGCTACTCGAGAGGCTGAGGCATGAGAATTGCTTGCACCCAAGACGTAGAGACTGCAGTGAGCCAAGGTTGTGTCACTACACTTCAGCTTGGGTGACAGAATGAGACTCGATCTCAAAAAAAAAAAAAAAAAAAAAAGAGGAAGCAGAGAAACTGCATTATGAAAAGTATAATATCTTGGTCCTTAAGTTTCTTTTGAGATTGGAATGAATTTTTTTTTTTTTTTGAGATGGAGTTTCGCTCTTGTTACCCAGGCTGGAGTGCAATGGCATGATCTCAGCTCACTGCAACTTCTGCCTCCTGGGTTCAGGTAATTCTCCTGGCTCAGCCTCCTGAGTAGCTGA